TCAAACAAACAAACCCATCAGTACCCCTAGCGGCCACTTCCACTAACTGATCTATATTTAGCCAGCAGCAGAGCTATCAAATCTATGCATTTTAAAAGAAAAAATATCTTCTTTTTAACGCATCTCGAACCATTCCTAGTTGATTAAACCATATTTGGCAAGTCAAAATTCAAAAGCCTAAGAGGAGTTACAGGACAGACAAACATACTTCTCTCAAATTGTAGTAGGATGATTACAGTAATGACGAGAACCAAACTGATGAAAACTCAAATAAATCTGATAATCCATTGTTAAGCAATGGGATGTCTGGGGATGTGCCTACAGTAGGGATCGAACTCTGAATCTTAGATTTGATTACAGTAATGACGAGAACCAAACTGATGAAAACTCGAATAAACCTGATAATCCGTTGTTAAGCAATGGAATATCTGGGGGATGTGCCTACAGTAGGGATCGAAATCCGAATCTTAGATTTATAAGCCCTCTAGCCTGAACTGTGAACAGTATGGAACTCTCGTTTTGTGTACTTTTGTGTTACATCGATCTGGACTTGCGGGTTTATTTCAGTCCATGTACATAGCAAAACACACTGTTTTTACTCGATTGACTTTTATATCACTTGCAAAAAGGAAATAAACCGTATCATCCAGTTGAGTTTTTTTTTTTTTAAATCATTTACTGATAGAACTGAATAATTAGCGTTTAAGCCTGATTTAATAAAAATTAGCCATGAAATTTTCAGTCTCGTTGTTTTTCTTTTTGGCTATGATGAGAAGTCCTTAAGTACTGATGAACTCACAAAGCTTCTTCAGGAGTTGATTATTTCCTGAGAAAAGAATATCTCTATCGAGTTTTCCGACAGCCCACAGAGGGCGCCCGTCCTGTATTGATTTTAAATGCTCTACATTCTTGTACATATGTTATAGTTCACGAGAAGACGGGACTTTTAGATCAATATCGCCTGTCTGTGGTTACTTCAACAAACCCACTCCAGTCCACATGAATATTATCATGCCAGAAGCCAGGTTAGAAATAACATTTCTTTCATCAATAGGGTTGTTGTTACCAAAAACTCATAGAAACGTGATTTTTTTAGGATGACCGTTGTAATTTCTTTTTGTACTGACGATTTCTTTTGGGGGTGGGCGGATGGATACTTCAACGAACTTCTTGCTTTTGAGAAAATATTTACCCGTAATCACGTTATTTCACGAGTTACAGTGTGGCAAATCAATGTATCTGACCTCACACATCAACTTTCGTATATGACGAAATAAAATCAGTTCAAATACGGCGGACGCATAATCAGTCATATTTATTTTATATACTTGCGCAAAGCTACACGAGGGCTACCTGTGCTAGGTGTCCCAAATTTTGCACTGACAGACTGTATTGAAAGCAGCTGGTTAAAAAGCACCCATTGCCAATTCATGAGCTACAGTAATCGGAATAATGGGATCTGAACGTTACTCTTATCACACACTCACAGCTCCAAATCACTATTTTTTAACAACGAGACGCGAGCCATGGATCTCAGGTGCTCAATATGGCACGCTAACCACCAGGCACACCCGCCTATTATAAACGTAATATGGCCCATAACTGTGCTAATCGCCATCTGACATCTTCATGATGAACAACTGTTGGACGGAATATCAGTTACAAATGATGGATATACAAAATGTAACACATTAGTCGCCAGAAAAATTGTCATGAAAGATTCTTATGATGACTTCAAAAATTAGAGGATGAACCGATCTTTTATTCCAGTTATCGGATTAGAAAACTCGTGTACTGCTTGTTTCGCAAGATATCCAATCAAAATTTATAAAACTGCATTCAATTTACCATCTAAAACTCATCCAGATTTTTCCAGTCTAAATTGGCTCTAAATCAAACGGATTATTAATTTCTGCTTCAAACGCTAGGTGGTTTACATAGAATACTACACATAATACGTAATGGTATCTGTTCCCTTGACTGTAAGTTTTCTAGGCGCACATAAATTATACTGGTTAATGAATCTAGAAGTTCGTTTTATAAAGAGTTCATTGATCGTTCAACCTTAGATACAGGTGTGGACGATACGCTATCTATATATGCATTAGTATCCACAGAAAGTTCTCCAGGAGAAAGTCTAAATCAAGGGACAAGAAGCTGTATATATATACACTGAATGAATAATGAAAGAAACATGTTTCTTACTTTCCAGGGGGGCAAGTTCCCCCTTGCACCCCCTAGAACGCCCATGTATATATGGTTGCAAAGTTTAGGCCGTCTTTAAATGTAAAAGTTCTATATTTAACGTCAGGTGATAAACTAAAAAGCTATGGGGGAGAGGGTAATAAAAATTAAACGGCAAAATAAAACAAGAAAGACCTTCTTCACAAACCATATTTTCATGACATAAAACAACAATCAACGTCACCTAACTTATGGAAAATTTTTAAAACTGATCTCGAATATCACCTTAAATCACATGAAAAGGCGGGAAAACTTAAATTTTTGTTTAAATATCAACATTAAACAATGTGATTCGCAAAGAAGTTCAAACTTTCATTTCATCGCAGATCCACGAGTCTCGCCAAGAAATTAGTTTAAATAACGCACTTATATACCAAAGTATAGGTTCATGTTTGTCAAGATATTATCCGAATTTTGTTTCTCTCGTGATTTTCCTTCTATTTAACCGATATTTAGTATAAGCTTTCGTTTCCAACCTTTCATGACGTCACAGCACGTAATCTAAACAACTATTAACGAAGCTAATCTTTGGAAATAGTTACAGAAAATGATTAAATACCATTGAGAAGAGCAAATCATTAATTATTTACGCCATTTTACAGTACATAAATCGGGGTGAGAAGTAACTTAAGGTTTTGTAGGAAAGTGACAACTGTTTGTTGTTAAGCGCAAAGCTACACAATGGGCAATCTGTGCTATGCCCACCAGTTGAGAAGAACAAAGGAACCACATGTGAAGTTTAGAAGACTTAGAAACAAACAACAGCTCTTAGAATGTTGTTATCATGTTATGATTAGGCGTTCTTTTCATTACTGGAAATGTTTTCATGTTAAGTTATTTTGTTTGAAAAGTACGAAAATATTTACATAACAAGAACTGAGGTAAGACCTGTTAGGGTTAGCAAGTAGAGTAGGCGATGACAGAATATACTCCTAACTCAGATCATACAACGCACATAAATAAAATATTTTATTGTGTATTGAAGAAAAGCTATATTGAATAAATATGCATTGATCTGGACGAAAAATATTATTACCTAATTTTACAAAGGTAATTGTGACGCCATTTGGTAAAGGTAACCTAACCAATAAATCTTTGTTAGCTTCGCCATTTTTTTTTACGATTAATTTTACCGATTACATTAGTTACTATTTGCGGTTATGTGGAAGTTTCGTTTGTTTATTTTTTGAATTTCTCACAAACCTACTCAAGAACTGCTTGCTCTAGCCGTCCATAAGTTTGAAATATAAAACGAGAGATTTTGACCGTCACATTATAACGTCCTTACGACTATGTTGGGCGAGATATGAAAACTAGCTGACGTTGGCCTGCTGTTGGCATTGAGCCAAACAATCCTCTAATCGATTTTCGCGCCAGTGTAATCTCGACACTAAACCATTCCACAGATGTGGGGTATATGTATAAGGCGGTAGAGCTTTGTTTATTTACACGCCACAGGAATATACTGATATCATGAAACTTCTCTAATAAAGCTCGATATAAAACATAATGAAGCCAAAGATATGCAAACGGTAATGGAAGAACAGAAACCGCGACCTCTTATTCTTCTACCGTCATTTGTTTTATAGGGTAAAATAAACATAACATATCTGTTTTGTAAATTAGGTATTAAAGAAAAGAAAAAATGGTAATAATTCATAAATATACATATATTCCCAAAGCTCAGAGCGCGATTTTGCGATAACGGGAAGCGAGCCATGGAGCCTCAGATTCATAGTCTGGCGCGCTAACCACTAGAGAACTTCTTTGGGAGATTCGAATGTTGTTAAACACGTTTTAAAAATGAAAACTGCAGGCTAAAATATATTTATAAACCGCTTATATATATATATATATATTATATTATGTACTAACTGGTATATGATATTCAAGGGGGCGCTGGATTACAAAGCTGAAGAAGCACAGAGCTACAAAACATATTCATAAACTACTTAGATATATTTTATATTACGTACTAACTGGTATATTATATTCAAGGGGGCGCTGGATTACAAAGCTGAAGAAGCACAGAGCTATAAAACATATTCATAAACTACTTAGATATATTTTATATTACGTACTAACTGGTATATTATATTGAATGGGGCGCTGGATTACAAAGCTGTACAAACAGAGAACTATAAAACATATTTTATACAAGAAACAAGAAAGCGATATAAGTATTTCCATAATTAAAGCGGAGTTGACAATGGGATATATTTAAATTTAGTTTCAGAAGATATTTTTAGGATTATAAAAGTAGTTCCAGGTTGACCACACCTCACTGGTGTCCGATTACAACACGGAACATGACAATTTTGTGCTAAGTATGAAAGGTTATGATAGGGGGAGTCTTCCTGTCATTAAACATTCATACATATGACTTACGCCAAGACTTAAAGTAGAAATATCAGTGACTCGGATGACTCTATAGGTGATATTTGAAACTAATTAAAGAGACAGATTCGAAAAGTTAGTCTATATTCACCAGTCGAACATTTAAAATAATAAAAGAGACAAAACGAATTAGATACATGTTAGAACCTGGCTAAGATCATGCTTTGCAGAATATCAGGCAAACAATGGTATCTCAATAAGACTAATTTTAGCAGCCCAGTGAATTACAATTTATGAGATTTGGATAATTAATCCATGAAATAAAACTTTAGAACTTTAGTAGAAGTATTTACATCCATCGATTCTGGAATACTCTTTTTCTTCTTCTATTTTTTTACACTTAAATAATTTACACCTACCTCTCTCTCGTTGTTTGCGAAGTTTAGGTTGAGATTAGGCATAGCACGAAGCATAGCTACCATTGATTGAATCGTGTTGCTAAACACCACGGGTTTGTATTGTTGAAAATCTTCTGGAGTAAACCCACTGTCGTGGATAATTCTAGAAGTGCCAAGAAACAATTTATATTAGAAATCTCCTTGTGATGACATTTCGCACCAGATTTTCGTTGGTTTATGCAAATGTAAATTTTTAATATATAAATAACACTGGTTCAAATTTAGTCCGTCGGTCAAGTACGATTTTTTTTTAATGAATTTACGTACAAGGTAAGTAAATAATTAATCTGTCATAAGAATTTATAAAAGTTGTTTTTGAAGAAAGTTTAACATCAATGTTTTTCTAAGCTAAGCGATATATTTTACGCTGTATAGCTGATTCATTTATGGAATATTTCTTTTGACATACAGTTAAATAATATATAATCAAAAACATCATAGTTGTGAAAAAAAGTTGCGGTCAGAAAAGAACTAAGTGTGCGATTTAAAGGAATGAAATCAACGTTAATGGCCAAACTGGTAGCTACACTTATAGCATTGATAAGAATTTTACAGCAAATATTCATTCATTAGTTAGCCAGGCCGCGTTTTATTTTTTTTAACTTGGGGCCCGATGGTGAGTAAAACTAAAACAGTGTTAATAGCTTCCTTTACAGTAACGCCATGGAATTTAGATTAACAGTTTCTTGTCATCACCCCAATGCAATCGGTACATCCGTATCAAGCATCAATATTTATGCTAACTGATTGAGCTTAAATTACGTGACGCTAAACGCTCTTGAATTAGGAGAATTTCGTAAAATTTAGTAAATTTGTGCTGAAAAGTTGTCAATGAATAATTAATAATAACTCTCCACTCCCTATAATCTTTTGAAAACTTAGCTAGAAACTGCTAATCTAGGTTGCTTGGTCTAACCAACACTTATGTATCTGCACGTCCTTTCGTCTTATAGTTTTGTTGCTCTAAATCAGCCGTCTTTAATCCGAATGACAAAAAATTTAAAAATGGTTCAATTTTACTCTTAGGTAAAGCTGTAGTAAAAATGTTAGACCGATAGCTCACGTGACTTTTTGCGTAGGCGTGCGCACATTTTTCGCTAAGTTTGAGCGATTTTTGTTGAATAACTTTGCACATGTGGCTTATATTTAGATCAAATGAGAGTCCTAATTGTAAGTTCGAAAGATCTATCAGTGTACCAAAGTTGAAAAAAATCCATAACAGTTAAGTATGTTTTTCTATCAAATAAAGTTTCCGTACTTTTGGTGCTAAGAAGAAAAAAGGAAGAAATTCAGTCAAAATTGTAGATATTATATCTCAGGTATTTCATAATAAAATCTGGTATATGAAGTAAGAGTCCAGTAGAGCACGTCCACTGAAAATATGTGATAGTTTGGATTATCACAGTCTAAGCTACAGAAGGTGGTAAATCGTTAAACTATCACTCCTGTTAATAGCACACACTGTGTCCTGCAGCACGTTGTTTTGGCCGCACGACACTACCGTGTGTCTTGATATACTTTTTTTTTGGCTCAACACAGTTCATATATTTTAGCGGATGATATTGGTGTGGCCAAGTAATAATACATACAAATCATCTATATATTCTAAACTGTATAAATTAAATTTACAGAACTTTTGGTATTTGATATTCAACTTCTATGGCATTATATGTAACAAAAGTTTCAAACAGTCAGATTAGAGATATATAAGATTCAAGTATAACTATTCCTAATCATATCTCCCAACCATAGAGAGAGAGAGAGCACTCAGTCAACAACTCCTGTCGACTATGTAGCAACAGTTAATCAAATAGAGTGATTGTTTGTCACAGTTATAACACTCCCCACAGCTGAAAATGCGGAGTGTTTGTTTGTCTGTTGTTAAGCACATAGCTACACAATGGGCCTTCTGTGCTGTGCACGCGACGAGTATCGAAAACCAGTTTGTATCGATGTGAGGCCTCAGACTTACCGCTGAGCCACTTGGGGGCGAAAATGCGGAAAGTTTCGGCAAAATATCGGTCTCGAACCCTGGATCTTCAGAACACGCCTCAGACCTATTTGGGCTTGTTACTTTGTAAGTGAAGACAAAACTTTAAGATGATTGTGAAGCTATCAGAAGCTATTTGGCGCGTTGCCAATCTAACATTCTTTTAACTTTCAGTAAAGCCAGATTTCAGTGGGTCATATAATAAATCAGCTAAACTGGGGTGTAGTGTAGAAAACCTGGATAATTTTACATCATTTAAAACGTTTTTACGAACTAAAACTAAAAAAAAAAACAAGATAAATTACTGTGCTCATTTTCTTCGCTCCTCAGTCATCTGTGGAACGCATCCCTTCATCACATATCGAAATCAATAACTAGTATGTAAAATGGCCAAAGATACTATGCAACTACTAAAAATAACCTTTTAGAACATTGATCGCAACGTTAAATTTCTTAGAAACATCCTATGTTTCACGGCAAAAATTTCAGATGGTAGTCTTGGGTATGTGTGTGTGTGTTTTTATAGCAAAGCCACCGCGGGAAAACGAACCCCAGATTTTAGCGTTGCAAGTCCGTAGACTTACCGCTGTCCCATCGACTGGGATTAATTACCAACAAGCTTTACAAAATAGAAATAGGGTTATGTTCAATTTTGGCCCCTTAGGACATTCTCCACAGTTCATAGTGTTTTCATACAAATTTTGGTTGAAACTGACCCAATAAGCTCGGAGGAGTTAGAGTGCAAACAAACACACAGTTCGTCTCTCTGTATATAGATGAACGTGTTACACCATGTTGTCCATCCGTAGTCCCCGCTATAACACATTGAAAAGAAGTTTGACAGGAAAGTTTCAACCAATGACGTTTCGTTGTATGTGTAAAGGCATTGTTTAAAGATAAATTTATATTTTATAAAAAGTTACCTATCAATCCGTCATATAACAATATATATATATATCGCTTGAAAATCTTGATTAATTTGACCATTTAATAATCTATTAAACGTACTATGAATAAATGTGCTTAATCTGACTGTACTCTCAGTTATCGAAAACGAGGCAATTAAAGAGTTGAATTCTGACCACCGAAAAACGTGATTCGGCGCGTTTCGTACAATAAAATGAACGACGTTTTCGAAGTCCTGGAATAATGTTTTCATGCAATACTGTTTGGCAGTTGTGCTGCACGGAGTGATATTTGGATGTAAGGTTTGGAATCGTGGCGAGAAGTAACAATCTAAACGGAGTTACTTCGGATTAGCGTTTCAACCAGTATCAGGTGATAACGTTAGAGTCGGGACATTCGTCAGTAGGTAGAGATACGATAAAAAAACTGTGGAATTGTGGGACAAACTAGGGGTTTACCTACTGGACTCTGAACCCACATTGGGGCTGAGTGCGTAATAACAGCAAAGATTCAATCCCATTCTTCGATTACAGTAGCCCAAGAGCTGGTAGTGAGTGTATTTTCTCTACTCTGTTAATCGGCATTCAGGGGCATGAGCGCAAACAGCCCTTATGTAATTTGCCCGAGTAACACAAACCTAAATAGTGTTTCTCGACGTAACAGAGCTGCTCTCCGAATAAGCAAGTTATACAGGGGCAATCCATTAAAGTTAACCCTACATTAAGACAATGAAAATTAATTTCTGTGCGAATGAATACATCGGTTACACCACTAGGTGGTTGTCCGCTCGTATAAAAGAATATACTTCTGTAAAACCCCAGAACTCATTACATATCGCTCGGTATGTCTCTGTAATGTTGTTTTCACAACCGACCACTTGGTGGCTAATCGTGCCGAGGATGCACAGCACTAATGGATTCGTCATAGTCTGGTATTTGGAAAAATGAGATCAGTGAGTGGCTTGCCAGAGGAGGAAAATGGGACGATGCTTCCCCAGAGATTTTAAACAAATAAAATATTTTTTATTGTTTGTATTCGTATCTATATTTACTTTGTTTTGGGCGTAAAATTCTTGAAAAACTGCATATTTTTTTTAGCAAATCACTCAAAACATTTCTTCTTGTCTCACTCTGCGTCTTCTATCGAGATAATACACACATGGTGTGGGATATAGAGCAGTTATACTTCTACGTTTTTTTATTATTATTGTACAATTTATCTATGAGGCGACGGAAACAGCCAAGAGAGGCCGATCCTTATCACCGAGTTCAAACAAGAATTTTAAGGCTGCACATCTAACTGTACCAATCAGAATCTAGATTTTAAAAACAACCAACGAAAATCATTTTAAGAATAGTTTACAACCGCGAGAAGCAAAAATTTTATGATTATGTGATTTGTTCAGTGTTTTTAAGGATATGAACAATTAAAAGCGAGTTTCATTAAATGATCTGCAGTGATTCGGTTGAAAAAGTCCACCAATGTATGTTGATTTGGAGACTATTTCAGAGTTTTGCAATTGGAACAACAGTTAGGTCTTGTCTGGCACAACGTCATTACCAACGTGTTTGCAGCTGTGACAGACCGATAGCTCGAATTCACTTATATATAAATAGAGACACCCTATATAAGTACCTGTTTTACTGTTCTTGGTTTCGGGGCGTGGTTAAAATATCGCCGGCCTCCTACTTAATATTTAATATGAATAATGTCGATCTCAAAACTGTAGAAATTGGTATTACATCTTCTCACCAAATTGCAAGACTGTCCCAATTTTCAACGCGTTTATATCAATAAAAACAATCTTGACAAGGTACAATCAGCAATAGCCTATTGAAACTTTAAAACAGTATACAGAACAATCATTTAATAACAGTATCAACAATGATATAGCATAAATAGCCTGTTAACAGTTAAAGAAACAACAAAAACCAGTATACAGAGCACCCTTGCAGCTCTTTATGCATGTATGTCCATCTACTTCCTACAGTTCTTGAACTATCAAAATCAAACTTTGCAGACAGACTCGAGATGGCCCGGAGATGAACTTACCTATAGCCTCCTACAAAGGGGGTAACAAGAGGGGCTATAATGCCTGATAAGCTTGAGGAGGGTCTAAGAGTGGGTTTTTAGGGTCGTAGAACCCGAATCTTACATCGGATTGTTTGTTCCTGAACCATCTCGGGATTCTGGGAGCGTAACGTTTGAAACTGTGTTTATACCCCACTCACAAGTTAGTGAGAACATACTTGGCACACGTACTCAAGCACTACGGGCAGGTAACTTTAGGAGTAAATGAGGACAATGAAGGAGCTCCCTCGGTACACTGGGGTCTCTGTGAATCTTAAGGGAGCTTTCAACCCCGCAGCGGAGCGCAGACATTTTATGTTAGTTCATTTAATAACAGTAACTTGAGCCAGTACAAGAAACATTTTTCATATTAAATAATGAGGCTTACGTAATTAGAAACCATAATTAGCAATAATACATTTTAATTTAAATTAACCAATCAGAAATGATCTCTGCTAAAAGTGGAAGAAAATACTTTATTTTTTCTCGTGCCTATTAACCGTTTAACACGCGTGTTTTCAATGCTTAACAGCTTCGACAATTGTTTTATAATATATATCTTTAGGTCGTCACGTGTAGGACATGCACCTATTGTTGAAGGACGTGTTCCTAATACGTATAAAAGACAAGTTGAAATAATAGCAGGTAAGGCGTGATATTCTTCTAAAATAATAATTTAAATATTATATAGCGGTCAAAATAGTCTTTCCAACAAAAAGGCATGCCATTCAAATTAAATGTCATGTTGTTAATATTAAAAAGCACACGTTTAATCTTCCTTCAATGTCATGTTACCATTAGTAACAAGGCATAAACGTTTAATATTCCTTCAATGTTTACGTTGCCATAAGTAACAAAGCACACACGTTTAATATTCCTTCAATGTCATGTTGCCATTAGTAACAAAGCACATACGTTTAGTATTCCTTCAATGTCATGTTGCCATTAGTAACAAAGCACACACGTTTAATATTCTTTAACTGCCATGTTGCCAATAGTAACAAAGCACACACATTTAATATTCATTCAATTTCATGTTGCCATTAGTAACAAAGCACACACGTTTAATATTCCTTAACTGTCATGTTGCCAATAGTAACAAAGCACACACATTTAATATTCATTCAATGTAACCTAAAAGATGCATATTTTATATCAATTTATACGTTTCCTTGCCGATAATTTGAATATTAAGCGACGGCGGCATTTATTTATTTGACTGTTTACTATATGATTATAAGCACATGTTGAAGAGGCAAAGCACGTTCCTATTTAGTACAGTAACGACAAAATACTGGGTACCTTCCCTCTAGTCTATCAGTTGAAATTTACGGACGGTTAGTGAAGATAGCCTTTATGTAACATGATTGAATATTGTGTTCTCATGTGGAGAACGTCTCTATACCTTTCGTAAGTTCGTAAGAATACTGTTCTAAATTCCAACTAAACATGCGATATAACCCCCTACACCCCAAAAAAATGCTTGAGGGTTGCTACGTTATTTAAAACCATGCTGGATAATTTAACTTCAAACACTGATAATAAGTAGGCAAACAATGATTTATAAACCATGTGTGAGAGTTTTATTGATGGTAGAACATACTACATGTTTCGACAGAACATTAGTCTGTCTTCTTCATATTAGCATGATATACTTACTTACTCAAGTATGTCAAACACTGTTAACCATAGACGGCATTTAACAATCGAATATCTCACTAAATTAAACTAATCACAAATTTTTCTTTGTTGTTCTATGTCAAGGAAGTGACATCATTCACTAGTGCGTCATTTCCTTTACAAATTTCTTCCCAGTTTGTTTTTCTCACAATTAAACACACAGGGACAAAAATAACTAGTTTGTGTTTTTAACTACGGATGTCCTAAAGCTAATTATTATACATTAAGCTTTTAAAGCAAGGTAAATGAGTCCCCAGTAATGTTTCTTTATTCAATTTCCATAAAATTTAAGTTATGAGTTAACGGTTACGAACCAAAACATTTTAATTGTCTCATAATTGCACGTAAACAACTATTTAGTGTTACAAGTCTTCGCTTCGAAGTTTTGTGTTTCGCACAAACATTCAGTAATTTCTGTTTATAAAAGCGTGACGATGAAGTCGAGTATTTTACAAAAGTCAGTAGATTAGACAAGAATATGAAGTTTTTTGAAATACAAATGTACATAATACGTAATCTGTTAATATTCTTCACAGTGGGATATGACAATATATGGAGTTATCATATATGCTTTCTATATCCGACTCGAAACGATCAAGATGACCACAGTTATTTTCCATATTTTGTTATATTGGCTTATTTACTCATAAATGAGTTGCCTAATGGTTAACTTAGGGCGCTCAACTCACAACCTGGTGGTCGTGAGACGGAAACCCGTCATCGAACGTGCTCGCACTTTCAGCCGTGAGGGCGTTATAATGTGACAGTCAACCCCACTATTTGTTTGTAAAGAGTAGACCAACAGTTAGTGGTGGGCTGAGTTGACTAGCTGCCTTCCCTCTAGTATACCACTTCAAAATTAGGGACTATTAGTACAGATAGCCTTTGATTGGCTTTGAGCCAAAAATTCAACAGATATAAGGGCATACCTCCGACACGAAATGTTTAACGTTTGTTTCTGCTGTTGCTTTCAGATTTTCTTCTAGCGGTGACGCGCATGAGCACTGGTGGAATCCGTAAAGGAAAAATGTCCGAAATATCAGTTTATGGTATTATCGATAAAATTTAATTACGTACTGTCCGTTCATTGTTTTATATACTGTTTGCAATAATAATCATCATTACTCTTCTTCTTTACCATCTTTATTAGTTGAGAACGTAGTTTCTATTTACAATGTTTACTGTTGCCATTGGTAACAAAGCACACACGTACGTTTGATCTTCCTTCAATGTCATGTTGCCAACAATAACAAAACACACACGTTTGATATTCCTTCAATGTCATGTTGCCAACAGTAACAGAGCACACACGTTTAATATTCCTTCAATGTCATGTTTTGAATAGTAACAAAGCATATATGCTATATTTCTTCAACATCATTTCTGTACTTGTATAGTTTGAATAAATAAAACAATCTGAACTAACTTCTATTATACTCTACATATGGAGAGAAACCATGTTAAATCTATGTAATTTATTAATCAAGTAATTTTAAAAGCTTACCAAAGCGATGGTAATGTAAGGGGTATTCTAAAAACACCTTACGAAACTTCTGAAATTCTGTGTTAAGGATTCGCATTTTTAAATAGTAAAAAAGTTAATGATGATACTACGGGTTCTAATATAGACACCTGCCTAACCATTTTATACATCACCACAATATGATGAAATGGCTTACGAAATATGTCATTAAATATATTGTTCTCAACAAGATTAAATCCACGTAAAGAATACTTCGTATGTACAGGTTAGTCGTATAACTGAATTTCTGAAGTCTCAACGTTTCTCGCAAAATTTTTAGGCTAGAGTCCATTTCTCAAAGTTACCTTTAAATGTTAGTTACAGATATATATACCCTGTACTATTTGAAACTAATTAAGTACATAATAATATTAAGCTCAATTCCTGCTTAAATGCTTGCTAACAAAATGTGTAAAAAGTTGTATCAAAGTGTAAATCAGAAACCCTGAAAAACTTTTTGGTCACTCAAAATAAAAATGTGGAATTCACGATACCCATCACTTCCCATGTTCGTCTCAAAACAAATAAAACAAATCCATGCTGTCATGTTAAACTTATATTAAAGTTTTTCTTCATTACCCATTTAAGCCGTCTCCAGCCATTATTAAACAAATCCAGTGTTTCATTCGTACATTTTTTTCCAAAATTGTATACTCTCATTTCTGGAAGACGTACTACTAAAAGCACTATTACTGGTTCTTGTGGAAAGGTTGCCCCTGCCTATTTTTCTAACACGCCTACTAGCCCTGCTGGACGGCCATGCTTCTCTTGCACCTTTTTCTAGCATGGCGCTAAGCACCGATACCGATTTCTTAATAATATTTTATTCTCAATGGACTAATATCCAATTTCTTCAATAAAGCAATAGCAAATACAAATTAATTATGAACAATGTTTACAAAGTTTTCATGGTTTACAATATTCATCATAATAAATTGCAAAAAATATATAAATTTAATTTTTGTAATTAAAATTAGTAGAGGCCTAACAATTATTTCATAAACACAAACATAATTAAAGAAATAGCGCTCTTAGTTCTTCAGTTAACTATTAGTATACTGACCGTAATAGTTAAATGTATTAATATTAATGTTCTTTAATTGAGTTGGAGGAATTCTTGGAAGTATTTGTTTGACATTAAATAAACCATTTTTTTTTATACTGCTTAAAATGTGCTTTACACATTATACCTGTCACCACAGCTTCGAAACATGTTCAGCCCTACCGTCGTACCGGTGTGGCCACGCCCTACATCTGGTTCAAGGCCACACCCAAAAGTTAAGACTTGCTAATATTTTAAAATATCTCCGTGATAGGCTCAACAAGCTATAGTTTTACACCATATGAAAATGATTAAAATTTAATGTGAGTGATACTTACTTCATTTGTTTTACGACCGTACTCTTCCCCGATTCCCCAGCACCTGTAATTGAAGAGAAATACAGTATACATACGGTGAACCTGAAAATCGAACGTCATGTTTAAATTTGAATCAAATCAGTCTATAATGGATTATTTAATTAACGTTGTGTATGTTATTTCATCCGCGGAAGATACAATTAATACACCAATTTTTTACACAAAGTACTACTAGTAGTATTCTATACATTACTCATTAGGCCTGCAAGTAGTAGTACTAGTACTACGATTTGCACTATTATTATAGGCTAGTCCTAAAAATATCGCGACTCATTCGCTTATTTTATGCGTAGAGTTGCTAGCAAACAGTTAAGTGACTTACCTAAAAGTAATAATTTTATATCTTTAGCAGCTTGAATTCCATCTTCTTTGAGATTTTTCTCAATTTGTCTACTTCGAGCCATCGCGGCCCGCTCCTCGGCACTCATAGCACATCCCATGACGGCGGCAGCAGACCACAGCTCGTAGCTCTGGTAAGTTGTATCGCGGCTCCCCCACAGTTATAACGTGCCTACACAGTGAAACAGTCACACCGATCAAGCACAGCTAAAATCACTACTAGTAATACCAGGCTACGTATCCTGTTAAAAAGCTCTTCTCCCGAAAACGCTTGTCGATTATTTAAAGGTTATCAACATCATATGTTTCTGAGTGGCTGAGAACGGATTCCTGACGTCATGTTCACCCGCTAAGGCTCATGAGGTGAAACCATGGCAACCGTAAACTGGGAACTCCATACTTGATGCTAGAAATAAACGATCTTATAACACCAGATTTGTAATTTTTGTTTAATTGGACACTCAGCGTTTTGCTTTACATCTTCTTTAAGATCGTTTCACTAAAACACAAACCGTAACTAAAGAAGCATAACAAATTTGGTGTTGTATGGTCGTTTATTTCTAGTATTAAAATGCCTTCTATACACCAATATGTACTACAGAAATTAAATATAGAACCCCGTACTAGTTCGTGATTGGGTACCGTCATTTGCCCTTTCTTTTCATTGTCAACTTGTGTAGGTAAGGGATCGTAACCCTTTTTCATACCCCTTACTGTTGGTCAGGAAATTTAAAAACTTGGATTGTGCTTAGAGGATACCTGTGATACCTTTGTTAATTAAATTCTTATTTCTTAATATTGAAAAGTAGTAATAACTGTTTCGCAACATAACAAAATTGTCTATTTTCTAAATGTAAATTAATTGAAAAAAAACAAAAAGAGTAACAGTTCTTCCATATAATTATTGTACACATACTCTTATTCATCAATTATATGCTAAGTCTGCTTTTAATGCAGAAACCATTAGAGATTGGATGGTTTGCTTTTTCTTATCCTACGTCACAGAGGGAGCCGCGAACTCTTCAACGCTTGCGCATACCGGCTTTGAAAGCCAAGAACGGTTCTTACTTCATAAGGAAACAGCTGCTGTAACATCTGCTGCATTGTAAGTGTGGTTCGTTAAATCCATGGTAAAGCGTGTCTTTATCTTCTTACAAACCACTTGCCGAGTGGAACTGGAGAGTCTAAGTATTATTTCCTGACTATCACAGGTGTTATTTAGCTGATATTCCTTCTTTATTAATTAATCTGAATACCGCTGATTAAACTTAATATCTTGATTAGCTTTAAGGACTATTATATTATTTTTATTATATTTTTAATTGTTCTTAAACAGAATCCTAAGGTCTGAAACGTCGCAGTTTTAATTGATAAAAAAAGAAACATTTCCACTGTAAAGCTGATCACGGTATAAAAAAACACTTTTGTTTAATTAAAGTACTGAGAGAGAAATAACAAAAATTAACTTCGACAAGGTATTGACCTGACATGGCCCGGTGGTTAGGGAGGTCGACTCACAATCCCCATCCCACCAAACATGATCGCCCTTTCAGTCGTGGGGGCGTTATAATGTAACAGTCAATCTCATATTCGTTGGTAAACGAGTAGCCCAAAAGTTGGCGGTGGGTGATGATGACTAGCTGCTTTCCCTCTAGTCTTAAACTGCTAAGTTAGCGCAGATAGCCCTCGTGTAGCTTTGCGCGAAATTCAAATGAAACAAAACGACGTATTGACTATCATAACTATCGATCAATAAGCGAACTGTTTTTACTTCTAATGAAAATATGTCCACTTCTCTAACGCCGATCTTCTTCACCATGTTATTTTATGTGATACGTTTTATTAAAATGTAATTGCGGGGAAAAATAGAAAATTTAGAAAATAAAACAATAAGGTACAAAATTCTCAACTCTTTACGTATCAAAAATACAGTAATCTAACACGCTGCCATCTGTTGGTGAAATATCAAAGTCTGGTGCTAAAATATTATTTTCTTGTAGATTATCTGTTTATTATTACTTTTTGTTGCACGTGTAACAACGCAATACAGGTTACAACTATGTGTGAACATTTATTAACATTACGAACACTTAATGATTAATAACACTTTTTCTTAATATATGGCTTAAGACTTAACTTTTTCAACTGTATAAAATACGATCGTATAATAAATGTGAGTCAGTACGAATTGTTATGTAAACAAACAGAATTTGATAAAATATTAACTATTTTTGCTGCTTTGGTGTTTACTTATTGGGTGATGCCCAACGTCTTGACCCAGGTGCAAAACAAATTATCCGCGAAACTAGAAGTGGAAAAATTGGATAGAAACGTTGTTCTTGGAGCGTTTAGTGAGAAGACTTGAGCTATATTAACAGTCTATATACATACTAGTAGGCAAGGGGGGATGAGGCGTGTGCGATCACCCTTCCCCCCAAATTACACCCATACATGTGTGTAAACATTCGTTTGTTTGTTTGCTGTTAAGCATAAAACTACACAACGAGCTATCTGTGCTGTGTCCACCGCAGATATCGAAACCAAAATGTTAGCGTTGAGCTTCCGGAATATATATATATATATATGTTGGTGTACTTTGGTGACAGATTTTCTTGTAGACAGATTTTGTTAAACAAGACCGATGTCTGTAGGTTTACTTTCTTCTTAGAATTCTTCTCAAGAAGCCGATAAGCCGTCTTAACGTTGTTAGAACAACGGGTAAAAGTTGTAGCTAGTGATGAGTTGGCCGACGCGTTTCGAATGCATTCTGCATCCATTATCAAGGCTGAATGTTGTGTGTGATTCTAGTGATCATGGACAAACAGGAATATAAGACAAAATTGGACGCCATTCTATCGGAGAATAGCAAGTTTAAGAGGATTAGAGCTGACCCGACAAAAACACTAAAAACAGACGTTAATAAATTGATCGCCACTGTCAACAAACAAG